GTGAGAAGACAAAAATACACTATCAAATTAATACAAATGCCAGTTATTTAATTTAGCCAGAAAAATTAAACGTTTTATGTATTATCCCCCCTTACATCGTGAGTGAATGAATGAATGAATGAATGAAAGCTGTCTTTACATCTTGACAAGGGGATCATCATACTTTGAAAACTCAAAAAAAAAAAAAAAGCCCCCTAAAATGTTAGCTAAAACTACATGGCCTTTGTCACTTTGCCATTGTGGGGTCTTTCAAAAAGCTTCACCAGGCTGGGGAAACTCCATGTTTAAATGGAAGAAAGAAAATATTATGACACTTCCATAGAAAAAGATAAAAAATAATAATAAAAAAAAAAATACATTTATATATATTTATATATACTATAAATTGTGCATCATTATGCGTCTTACACATTTAGGATACCAAGTTTCTAATTTGCAAAGCTATCCAGAGCAAACCATTTGAGCACATAGGTAGACTAGACAGAAAAAAGAATAGGAACACATTGTTATTGGGCAACTCAATTCAGTTTTCCTAAAATTACAACAGCATAAAGGTAAGACTAGGACTAGCCTCCACTCTGGACTGAATCTTAAGATTGCTAGCATTGCAGGATGGTGTTTGCCATTGTAACAAATACTATAACTCCCATTCTCAGACTGCTAGGATGCAGGAGAAGGACAGTGGACAGTGTTCCATCATGAACACAGAAGCAGCATCTATGTGATATCCACACATACGACACTGAGCAAAGCAAGGGTGCTAAATGTCAAAACACAACACTGTTACACTGCTATTCAGTTGTACAGGAAAAAAATGTCTTTCTTTTAACATCGCTGTGGATTCATTTGCATGAATTAGACTGACAGTCAGAATTGTGTTATTCATTGGTCACTTTTCAAGCAGATCCATTTATATAGACAGGCAGGTTAAAAGAAAAGAAAAAACTTACTGCGGAGCGTTTTGATGCCAACAATGTCACATGGTCACTGTACAACTTTATAGAAGCCTTTATATTTAATACTGGTGCTGTTCCAGAAAACAGTGAAACTAACATGTTAGAAGTTGTCCAATTTAAAATAAGATGAGGGCAAGAAGAAAATGTTCACTTATTTGTGCTTTGAAGGCCTTTCTGATGCATTTTCAAGGTTTTCTCTTTACTTTCAGATTTGAAGCCGCATTGTGCAAATCATCATAAAACCTGTTTGTGACCACTGATGTCACCAGCAAAGTCAGTTGGCTTAAAAGGAGTGATTCATAGTGATTCATGAGCAAAGCACAAAAATAATAACAAAAAAGGCAGAGAAAGGGTCTTAAGTATATGTCAACATGGGTGACAAAGAATGATAGTTCAACATGAAAGTTTTTAAAATATACATAAATTCAACATATACAACATTTGAACTAGGTCAGGATTCAAGAATTCTTACTGTTACAGGTGACCCACACAAAACAGATTAAATTAAAAAGGCAAATGTAAAACTGACAAATATGTGATAAAGACCAACTCAAATCAGATGCATATGTATAACCAAAACATCTGGAAAAAAAAAAAAAAAATTATATATATATATATATATATATATATATATTTAAAAATAG